GCCAGTTCCGCATAAGTTCACGAGCTGCGTGACGCCACAGGCTCATGAAGAGTGTGACACACTCGCCGCCATATTTACAGATGGCGCTGACTGACACTATCACGTTTAAATTCACATATATACCCAATAAAGGGGCTGGTAGGATAGCCGTCGTGTTAGCTCAGTGGTAGAGCATTTAACGCGTTATGCGAAGGTCGCCCGTTAGGTTCCTGTTTTCACCCACTTTTCTTTATTCACATTTACCTTACGTGTGTGTCACACTCTTCATGAGCCTGTGCCGCCACGCAGCTCGTGAACTTATGCGGAACTGGCAACTGACCAATAGTCCCTCATATATATATATATATATATATATATATATATATATATATATATATATATATATATATATATATATATATATATATATATATATTATATATATATATATATATATATATATATATATATATATATATATATATATATATATATATATATAGGAATAAAGGAGCACACTTACGAAAATTTGATAGTTGTTTACTGTACGTTTCAGCCGTGGCACGGCCTTCGTCAGGATACGACGAAGGCCGTGCCACGGCCGAAAGGTACAGTGAACAACTATCAATTTTCGTAAGTGTGCTCCTTTATTCCTAATTATATTTGCACCGGACCCAAAGAACTTCTTTTTTGAATCATATATATATATATATATATATATATATATATATATATATATATATTATATATAAGTGAAAGAAGTGGGAAAGAAGGGCTTGTTTTTACGTGCTTCGTTGACACAATATTTCTGACAGTATGTATTATATAATATATATATATATATATATATATATATATATATATATATATATATATATATATTGCCTAGAGTCGTAGTAACCAACTATATAGTTGATATTAAGAAAATATTATGCACCAATCCAGCCATACAATACTTTGTTGGTCTGTTCTTTAATAGCTACAAACCAATATTCAGAATTCAAACGAGGTACATATATATATACCTCTTCACCCACGAATCACTTTATGCCCTTTTATCATAACCTGCGTTTTCATGCATTACTTTCGATCGCGTTTCATATGTATGTATGTATGTATGTATGTATGTATGTATGTATGTATGTATGTATGTATGTATGTATGTATGTATGTATGTATGTATGTATGTATGTATGGCGTCGCTCACAGTGTGGCGTAGTCATACGTGCAACATTGACGCTATTATTCCCAAACAAATCAAGTAGAGAGCAGTCGAAGACGACCGTAACTTGAGTGTATATGTACACGGCCGTCCACTCTTAGTACAAACACCGCGCCGCGTGGCTGCACTTCGCGGGGCGCCAGTGCTAACAGTGCGGCCGCGCATCGAAGCTTATCGACGCAGGCGCACAAGAGAACGGAGGCAAGGCTTCATTTTTATTTACAGCGCGGGAGCGCACCGTGCCCGCTTTGCCGTGAAGCAAACTTACAGCACCTGAGAAGCCACGAGTGTTGCAGAAAAGCGGGCTTAGCTCAGCGCAACTTGTTGTGTAGTTATGGTATTTGAGACGTGGATTATCCGTATTGTTTCAGTACCAGAATAGCAGTTTAATGCTGGATCGTTGTAAACTCTAGAGTATTAGTTCTGGCTTGGTTTTCGGTGTTCTAGTCCGTGAAAGAATTTCGCTGCTGAGCGGTGCTCTGTGAAGTTTCAACTGATTGATATGTGGGGTTTAACGTCCCAAAACCACCATATGATTATGAGAGACGCCGCAGTGGAGGGCTCCGGAAATTTCGACCACCTGGGGTTCTTTAACGTGCACCCAAATCTGAGCACACGGGCCTACAACATTTCCGCCTCCATCGGAAATGCAGCCGCCGCAGTCGGGATTTGAACCCGCGACCTGCGGGTCAGCAGCCGAGTACCTTAGCCACTAGACCACCGCGGCGGGGCGTGAAGTTTCAACTACCAGGAAATATTTACCGTGGTCTGAAATTACGTGCGCAAGCGTGTTTCTGCATTTCTCCCGCATTTAAACACGGCACGTGCTGCCGCGATCGAACTTGTGTCTGCCGTCTAATTTTAGCTGAGCTTTCGACTACTAAGACTCCACAGTGCGGCATTCTAGCGGCTCTACACACTCTGCAAATATCGATATTCTTAACTCTAAGGCATTTGTTTGCGCGTGCTTTTTCTGAAGCATTAGTATGCTCTACAGTTCAACACGTGTAAAGAAGTTTGCAGACAGTTGAATACGAAGGTGTGTGCTGCGTTTCCGAAAGTTAGCAACTCTTAGTAGTGGGTATTTTCCCCTCCCGCTCCAACAACTGCATCTATTCTATTGGGGAGGCTTCTGCATACGGAGCGAGAAAGGTTGGTGTTGGCCCTCATTTGCTCCCACTCCTTTTGGGCAATGGCCCAAAGCGCGTTCGCTGAGACGGCACGGAGTTGTCGGTGAGCCAGCGCAATCTACATGTTCCCTCACAGATTTTCAATGATGCTTCAGTCAGGCGACTGTGGAGGCCACTCGAGAACTGCCACGTTGCGACTCTCTAAATACTGAGCAACGTTTTCAATTTATGTGTGAGGAATTATCATGCTGCAGGATTAAATCGTTCTCTGGGACTTGTCCCCCAACGAGGTATGAGAGCAGCACGCCATCTGAAGCCCACATTAGTCGTCTGCCGTGAAACGACTTTCAATTCTGACAAGGCGTCCCAGCCTTTGAGCGGTAACAGCATGTTGCTAGGGCTAGCCAGCCAGAACACTCTCAGTAAAACAATGTCTTGTGACTTGAGTGCCTACCGCTTTTTGATCGGACAGACGGAGCAGGTAACTTGAGAATCATGTGCAACCCTGTATCCTTATTAACAGGAGATAAGAATGTGTGCGGCCCATTCTACACAAACCCCAACAGACCTACTCACGGTGATCTTAAATGACCAGAGTGACGGCCCAGCGGAACTTTCTGGCCGAGTAAACCAGACACCGCAGATGCTAGCGCCGTCCCGTCAATATCCCTCTATGTGTTTCTTTGAGTGACTTAATTGATTTTATTGAGTGATATGTGGGGTTTAACGTCCCAAAACCACTATATGATTATGAGAGATGCCGTAGTGGAGGCCTCCGGAAATTTAGACCACCTGGGGTTCTTTAACGTGCACCCAAATCTGAGTACATGGGCCTACATCATTTCTGCCTCCATCAGAAATGCAGCCGCCGCAGCCGGGATTCGATCCCGCGACCTGCGTGTCAGCAGCCGAGTACCTTAGCCACTAGACCACCGCGGCGGGGCTTTGAGTGACTTAGGTTTTGGTATCATGCACGTGGGTGAGACGGCAGGCTCCTTCAGCAGGGGCCCCAAGAATACTGTAGGATATGGTCCAAAGCTATGCTGAGGTTAAACTTATGACGAAGTCACGTAAAACAGTCCCCCCCCCCCCCCCCCCAAAAAAAAAGAGCCACATATACATGCGCTCTCAGTGCCATGTAAGCCTTGTCGGCTGAGTGTACGGAAGAATGTAATTAATTCAGAAATATAGGGTACTAAAGTACGTAGGAGGAGGTGAAGAACGTCAAGGTACTGACATAGTACTTGGAATTTTATCATATATTGTTTTTGCTAGAGGGTAGTAAAAAAAAGGACTCCGGAAGATGTGAACATAAAAAAGGACAGCTGTTTTCCAGTGGTCAGATATTAAGTAATGACCACAGCATTGTTACGCGCGCAGGTATATTGCAATACATTACGTGTTTAAGCAGAAGGGTGGACACTTACAAAGTGGTCAAAAAGAGTGGGGCCCCTGTTTCCCAATAAAAAGCTAGCCTTGAGTGGAGAATACGAAGTTATTCGTATAACAAGACAGCAGAAATAAGAGGTTCAATGCAGGTCGGTGGAGAGTAGGGCGATTGCGCCCGAATGCTTTTATAAACGCTCCGATGTAACATGATGTTCATACTTTTGAAAAAAAAAATGACCTCAAGACTACGGAATGAATATGCAGCTGGTGTAGCTATATTTTATTGGAGCGAATAGGGAACAGCGTTCGCATGCACGCAATTTTAGGTCATGGTAAATATTTACAGAAGTAGAACCTTCTCAGAGCACCGCTCAGTGGCGAAATTTTTCACAAATTAAAACACCACAAACCAAACAAAAGCAATACTCTAGAGTTTGTTACAATGTATACATTAAACTGGTATTCTGGTACTGAAACAAGACTAATCACCTATGTCTCAAATACCGTAACTACACAGCCCGTTGCGCTGAGCTAAGCCCGCTTTCTTGCAACGTTCGTGGTTTCTCAGGTACTTCAAGTTTGATTTACGGCAAAAGAGGCACGGCGCGCTCCCGTGATTTAATCAAAACGAAGCCCCGCCTCCACGCTCTTGTGCGCCTGTGTCGATAAGCTTCGATGGGTGGCCGCACCGTTAGCGCAGGCGCCCGGCGGAGCGCAGCCATGTGGCGCGGTGTTCGTGCTGAAAGTGGACGACCCTTTACATATATAGTCCTTCGTGAGGGCTATCAGGTTCCCTGTTCGTGTGGGCAGCAACTTCAATGCCATAAGACAATTCGGTGACAGCTATAAGTTTGTCTAAGCACAATGCTATGAACCTTCATGATTACAAAACATTACTGGCATGAATTGTTTTACGTTCGACAACAGCTTCATTGTAGAACATCCTAGGACGTGTATGTAATTTAACGTGCACATACAACACACAATAAGAATGCATCTAAGGACATAAGGTTAGCAATGCTAGACGATTAAATCGATCACTGTTCGATAACGGGCTGCGCTTGTTTAAGAAGATGCGCCTGTGCAGCGTGAGAATGCGTTCAAACTTGACAGAATGGTATGAAAGCTGTTGTCTTCTGTACGAAAATAGTCGGCCCTTTTTATGCTTCACATTTGGTGGCGTTTGTTATGTTTTTCTTCACAAATAACAGCTGATCTTTATAAATATCGTGTGATTCATTTACACAGTTTTATTGTGCTTTTCTTCCGTAGGTGAAGAAATGGCTGCAGATTCTATTTCTACTGTGACACTTTCGACGGGATTCAAAATTCCAATTATTGGCCTTGGAACGTGGCAGGTGTGTTGGTTCGTTAAGTTCTTTTTAGTTCATTTTTTTAGTCAACAATCTAATCTCTCCAGCCTGTAAGCTGTAATGATGACCATACCCTGTAAGTAAAAGTACATTTTATGAACTATATTCTGCTATTAACGGGGTTATATAGACTTTCTGGCTCACAAGCTGAATTCATGTAATGTCCTTATAACATTGTGGGTTCGAGAATCATATGGGGCTACTTCAGAATGACAAAAAAATCGATAACACTTAGCTAGTAAGCCAAACGAATTTTTTTATTCTGCCACAAGAAGACAACCGAGTTCCCTGTCGTAAATATTTGAGAGCATTTCGGGACAGCTTCAAAGTGCATGTGTAGTTCAGTGCTTACATACAGTTGCTGTGGTAGTCGCATACGCATATAATCACTCAAATTTTTTGAATGGTGGTTTTAAAAGAAAAGGTAATAGCAGTTAACCACAGCGTCGGGTGATTCGCTATGATGACCTACATACTTGGCTATTTTTAGCGAGTGGTTGCCACTGCAAGTGACAATCAAACTATTTAAATCATTCTGTTTCTTTTAAGTAAGACATTTGTGCAAAACAAAGAGGCAGATGTAAGCAGTTGAGAAATAAAAAAAATGCACGTTCTCTCTGCTGCACGATGATACTGCTCCTTGTAATCGTTTACCAAAACTGCCCTCCACACGCGTTATTGCTTCTTTCTTGCCTATGGTCAGGTACGACTTTAATACTCTGCGACTGTGACTCTTCTGAAGCACATGACACAAGGCTGCATCAGTGGTTGTGCTCTCCAGACTTACATCATGTGCCCGACATATGGCGTGACCCCAACTTCGGATAACATTGCTCAGTACAGTACATTAGCGAGGACTATTTACTTCTTCGTAAAAGGGATCAGCTTCCGCGTTACGATAATGTTGGCGGTTCCTTCACGTGTTTTTAAGTTGTGCCCGACTACAGATACGTAGGTAAATGTTTGGTAACGTAATAATTCAGCCATTTCCATTTTATGTTTTTGCGCGTATTTAGAATGACCTTTGCAACAACTTCGCAGTCAGATCCAGGAAAGGTGGAGGAAGCAGTGAAGATTGCTATTGATACTGGCTACCGCCATTTTGATTGCGCACTACTCTACCAAAATGAAAATGAAGTTGGCAGTGCAATCAGCGCGAAGATTGCGGATGGAATTCTGACGAGGGAAGACGTCTGGATCACCAGCAAGGTAGAGTGTCCGATTGCAGGGCCATTTCGTTCTCTATGAGCAAGTGAAGGGGAAGTCATTCCCATGGTGTTTTAGAATATAGAGAATTGTTTTAAAATGCTTAGTTGTTTAGCGCAGTAAAAAACTTACGGTTCGAAATTTCCAACCTGAGTGTAGTTAATTGGTGAACATCGTGCATAATTTTTCTAAAGAAATGAACTTGTATTATTGATTATAAGCTGTCACAGGTCCCGTTAATTAGGGAGGCGATCGCCGGGCTAAGTACAAGGGCCAAAGTATCGGTGCCCCGAACTGCACCATGAAAACGGGGACAATTTAGAAGTGGTCCTATTTGGCGCACCAGCGGACGCCGGCTGCGGTCCAGCAGCAGATCAAACGATCCACAAATATGCACACTCGACAATAGTTGAATACGATATGTCACCAACCAAACAACGTACTACACAGTAGAATCAGCCACACTCGAAACAACGGACACGAACAACAATACGCGCTACAATCCAGTAACATGCATCGAACAACCAAGACACTTAAAGACTAAAGAGTTCGAAAACTTCCAAAGTCCAAAGTCCTTGGAACAAAGTCTGAAATATACTCTTCCAAGAATCACTCACTCGAATTCCAGCGCTGTTGTCGTTCTGCTCCCCCGAAGTTGAAACCTCGCGTCTTCAATTGGCCGCTCTCCAAGCACCAAACTTCTTCGCCGGTAACGCGTCGGCTTCCCACGTGCAGCTGTTGCAACGTGTCTTCGCTCGCTGGTGATAGACACACTCTTCTGCCTGTAGCACGAGTGTTCACCCCTCAGGTGGAAATCCTCTTCATTACTTGCTTTGTCACTGAGGACAGAAGACGTCGCCGACAAGGCGGAACACCCTACGCACCCTGGCGCAAACTTTTTTCTTCTCCTTCTTTCTCCGCTGCTCGCTTAAATACCTTCCGCGCTAGATTCCAGAAAATTCTAATCGTTTCGTCGGCGCGATGCAGAGCCAAGGCTAGGGAAAGAGCGAGACGTTTCGAGGTCCGTCCGCGACACGTGACGCAACTCTGCATCATCATCATCACCAAAATAGCTTGTATAAATAGCTTGTATACTACGGAGAGCAATCTGATTGGCCTGTAATTGTTCAGGTCCTTGTCATCTCCTTTCTTAATGTATTAAGATGATGTTCGCGTTCTTCGAAGACTCTGGTACTCTTCCCATCAGGAGACATCTCGTAAACAGGGTGGCTAGTTTTCCTAACACTATCTGTCCTCCATCTTTCAGCAGATCTAATGTTACCTGATCCTCACCAGCAGCTTTGCCTCTTTACATGCTCTCCAAAGCTTTTCTGACTTCTTCTATCATTACTGGGGGGGTGTCATCTGGGTTACTGCTAGTTCTTATAGTATTAAAGTCGTGGTTGCCCCGGCTACTGTACAGATCTCTGTAAAACTCCTCCGCTATTTTAACTATCCTATCCATATTGGTAGTTATTTTGCCTTCTTTGTCCCTTAGTCCATACATCCGATTTTCGCCTATCCCAAGTTTCCTTTTCACTGATTTGATGCTCCCTCCGTTTTCAGAGCGTGTTCAATTATCTCCATGATATACCTTCTTACATCACATACCTTACGCCTATTAATCAACTTTGAAAGCTCTGCCAGTTCTATTTTGTCGGTTGTACTTGAGACTTTCATGTTTTGACGCTTCTTAATCAGATTCTTTGTTTCCTGGGAAAGCTTGCCAGTCTCCTGTCTAACTACCCTGCCTCCAACTTCCACCACACACTCCATAATGATACTCGTCAGATTGTCATTCATTGTATCTACGCTAAGGTTGGTTTCCTCACTAAGAGCCGCGTACCTGTTCTGAAGCGAGACTCTAAATTCCTGAACTTTACCTCTCAGTGCTTGCTCATTGATTGGCTTCTTGCGCATCAGTCGTTCCTTCTTCAAGTCTAGGCGAATTCGAGACCATACCATTCTATGATCACTGCACCGTACCTTGCCAACCACTTCCACATCCTGCACGATGACTGAGTGTGCACTCATTATAAAGTCTATTTCATTCTTATTTTCGCCATTAGGGCTCCTCCATGTCCACTTGCGGGTTCCTAGTTTTTGGTAGAAGGCATTCGAAATCCGTAAACTATTGCGTTCTGCAAATTCTACTAGTAGCTCTCCTCTGGCGTTTCTAGTACCGATGCCATAATCTCCTACTGCCTGGTCTCCAGCCTGCTTCTTCCCTACCTTTGCATTAAAGTCTCCCGTCAGTATAGTATACTGTGTTTTTACCTTACTCATTGCCGATTCCACGTCTTCATAGAAGCTTTCAACTGAAGCGTCATCATGGCTAGATGTAGGCGCGTAAGCCTGTACCACCTTCGTCTTGTATCTTTTATTCAGTTTAATTATGATACCTACCACCCTTTCATTAATGCTATAGTATTCCTCTATGTTGCCAGCTATGCTTCTGTGAATTAGGAACCCCACTCCCAGTTCTCTTCTGTCTCCCAAGCCCCGATAGCAAAGGACGTGCCCATTCTGCAGAACCGTATAGGCCTCATCTGTCCTCCTAACCTCACTGAGCCCTATTATATCTCATTTAAAATCCTCTAGCTCCTCGAATAGTACAGCTAGACTTCCCTCACTAGATAATGTTCTAGCGTTAAACGTTGCCAAGTTCAGGTTCCAATGGCGGCCTGTCCTGATCCAGAGATTCTTAGCACCCTATGCTGCGTTGCAGATCTGACCGCCGCCGTGGTCAGTTGCTTCGCAGCTTCTGGGGACTGAGGGCCGTGAGTTATTTGACGTATGCACGTGGGAGGTAGTGGCCAGATACTGCACCAGGGTGGCCAATCGTTCTCTGGTGAGGGAGTGCGTTCCCGGCGGTGGTTACCGGTGAGGCGGCACCCCAGGCCTCTTAATGCAGTTCCATCACCATGCGGATTTTTTTTATGCGGTTGGGAACTGCGCGGCACCGGGATTTGAACCATGGACCTTTTGCATGCGAGGCGGATGCTCTAACCACTACGCCATCGCTGCCATACCAACTCTGCATCACCACGCCCCTTTCCTTCGAGAACCTTCCAGGGCATGCTCGGCGGCTGAAGTGAGGAGGTTGGTCGGCGAAACTACGCTTCCGAGGGGGGGGGGAGATGGCGCGCCCGGGGAGTGTTTGGATGCTTTTCTTCTTTAGCATTGACCTTGAGGCGTCTCCCTGGCACTTGGTCGCCAGAATTCGGTGGTGCGCCCTGTTTTGAGCATTCGTTTGTGACATAAACAATAGAACAGTGCACCGTAGCTCGTACACACAAAGTAGCTTACAAGCAACGAAAAACTGTCATCCTAGTGGTGGCATATATATATATATATATATATATATATATATATATATATATATATATATATATATATATATATATATATATATATATATATATATATGATACAGAGGAAGATGATGAAGCGAATAGTCAGCACTCACACTATTTCCCCCCTTTCGCGAAAAAAGGCAGCAAGTTTGAGAGGGTGGGACGCCGAATGTATCGTTTCATTCGAGATACATGAGTGATCTCGGCCCTGCGGTGACGACGATCAGGAGCCGCGCTGACAGGAGCGACGCGATAGCTCACATCAAATGTTTGTTCTAGCAGGGTGTATGGACCAAGATACCAGTGAAGGAATTCTTCACAGAGCCCAGAAGCACGAACAGGTGTCCACAGAAGGACTTCGTCGCCGGGGTGAAACGTAACAACCCGTCGTTTCGCATCAATACCGACTTTGCTTTGGTCCTGAATTGTAGCACTGTTGGCGCAGGCAATTTTACGGCAACGGGCAACTCGAGCAGTGAACTCTTCTGGTAGAGACGAAGATGGAGCAGAGGACGTGAATAAAAAGGTGACATCGAGAACGAAAGTCGGTGAATGGCCATACACGAGGAAAAATGGGCTGTAATTTGTCGTACGTTGTATGGCCGTATTATACGTGAAGGTGACGAAGGGAAGTATAGTGTCCCAGTTTTTGTGATCTTGTGTAATATACATGGAGATCATGTCGGACAAAGTTTGGTGAAAACACTCTGTCAGACCATTCGTTCGCGGATGGTAGGCTGGTGTGGTGATGTAGATGGTTTAGATGTCTGGAGGACTTCAGCAAGAACTTGGGAAAGAAATGTCTCGCCACGATCACTAAGGAGCTCACGCGGGGCGCCATGGCACAAAACTATGGCACGCAGGATAAAATCGGTGACTTCAGAGGTAGCACAACAGGGGAGAGCTGTCGTCTCCGCATAGCAAGTAAGGTGGTCAACGACAGTAACGATCCAATGGTGACCGGTGGGAGTAAAAGGGAGTGGTTCGCATAAATCGATGCCCACAAAATCGAAGGGTGTAGACGGACACAGCAGAAGTTGCAACGGTCCCGCTTGAAGAGATGTAGTACGTTTTCGGTGCTGGCATGACGCACATGAACCGACTTACTTGGCCACACAAGTGGAAAGGCCAGGCCAGAAACAGGGAGTCTTGATGCGGTCGTAAATCTTGTGGAAGCCTAAGTGGCCAGCTGTCTCGTAATCACAAAAATCTTGTAAAACCTGAAAACGAAGTGAGCGAGGGATGAGTGGAACCCATTGGTTACTGAGAAGATGGTAAATTTGCCGACATAATCTTCCATCTTGAAGTTTTAAGCATGCAAGCTGTTGTCTTAAGCGGCTGTTTGGAGCCCCGGATAAGCCAGTGAGCCAATCTTTGATTGTGTGGCAGTATGGATCTGCATATTGGTGATGCAAAATCTTGGATGTAAGAAGGTCCAACGAGGCAACAAACTCTTTCAGGCCAAAAACTGTCTGCTTGGTCGATTGGCTGGTCAGTAATGAACAGACGAAAGGTGAAAGTTGGGCACTTGGCGAGAGTGGGCAACGCGACAAAGCGTTGGCATCTTGGTGTCTGACCTGACCTAGATGTGACACTGTAGTGATACTCCTGTAAGCATAGCACACAACGGCCAAGGTGTCCCGACAA